TTATTATTTTTTTTCTTTAGGTATGTTTGATCAGGATAATTCAGGCGCAATCGAGTTCAATGAGTTCTTTGCCTTGTGGCAGTATGTCACTGACTGGCAAAGAACATTTAGAAGCTATGATCAGGACAACTCTGGAACCATTGATAGACAAGAATTAAAAACAGGTAATGCAAAATTTGTCCTCGCACAGTATTCCTCACCTAAACTGTTGCGTTGAAATCAAATTGAGTAAATTGTTACGGTAATTAAATTGATTTTCCCTAACCAATTAAGCTTGTTAATTAATTGTTTCTCAGTGTCATTGTTTCATTAACCTTTCTTATCTCTTTCTGTTCACAGCCCTTACAAACTTTGGTAAGTAATCGGTTTCAAATGCAAGATTTTCGACCAACTTGGGCTTCTAAAGCTTTATTTTTATGACTAGCAATTTTTGTCATGATGTAATTCTTCCTGACAGGTTACAGGTTGTCGGAGAGAATGTACACCATTCTCATCACAAAATTTGATCGCAGTGGCCAGGGCTCCATCAACTTTGATGACTTTATCCAGTGTTGCATCATACTACAGGTAAGGGACACAACTTTCATGAATCATTTGCCTTATCTACAGGTGGTAAAATAACAACTACTAAATGCCAAATAAACTGTTTGCAGCCTGTTTGTCTCTCTAAAATCAGGAAATGAGACGGGGCGAGAGTTTTTAAGTCGAGAAGACTCAGTTGGGACGAGAAAAGGGTGTGGCACGTACGTGAATGTCTCGTCCCGACCCCTTCTCCTCCGCACCGATATTTTTTGCGTCCTCTTTCGCGCCGCGAGGATGAACAATCGTCGGACTCGACCTAAGAGGAATTAAAGTACCGGCTTCATGTAATCTAAGTTCCAAAAGAATGTTCAAAACGGCTTTAAATAACTTACACATGTCCAAAGCAAATTACGGACCAACTCGAAATCGCTTCCAAGATCGATTTCATTCATAAGTCGTATCAATCTTATGAAAACGAAATGTTTTACAAGTTCTATTGCTTTGAAAAGTATGCGTTAAATTAAAGACATCTTGGCGACAAAAACAGCTTCAGATTCTACCAGGCCATATGGTGGAGTACAGCCCGCTAAATTGACCAGTCACATCGAGGGCAAGAATGGAGATAAAGTCATTTGCTCTGTGAGAACAGGAAGGTGAGCGTTTTAAGCGAGAAGGAAGTACGACTTAGCACCGCACCCTCCTGCAATATGTCTGCAAACAAAATATTTAAGGTGGCTCCCTAAAGTCTTACGATTGCACGCGCGCATAAGTGTACATACTAGTTTGATATTTTTGTAGTATTAAATTTTTCAAATAATTTCTTCTCAGATTCTGACGAATTCCTTCAGATTCCGTGATTACACCAAGAGTGGTTGGATAACAATAGGATATGAAGATTTTCTTTCTATGGTGTTTAGCTTAAACATGTCGAAATAGTGATTTTTGTCCCTCGCTTGAAACATTTCAAACAACGTTGCGTGGGAACCTTACTTCTGTCTTGAGACAAAAGTGTTACAAAAAATAAGAGACTGTAGAAAGTTACTCCGTTGTTCAAGAATCTTCATTGGCTTCCGGTAGAACAAAGAATCATCTTCAAAATTGCACTCATCACCTTCAAGGCTCTTCGTGGTGACGGTCCCCAGTATATCGTAGATATTCTCAATCCCTACAACCCAGCTAGAACACTTAGATCGTCCACTCAGAATCTCCTTTACAAGCCTAGTTTCATTTCAAAAGGCTACGGTGACCGTTCATTTACGGTGTCGGCTCCAACAGTGTGAAACGTACTTCCAAACGATATCAGACTCTTCTTGCACGAACATTTTTAAAAGTAAACTGAAAACGTGGCTTTTTAAACAAGCATTTTTAAGTTGAAGTTTTTAATTATATATCTTTTTAAATGTTTATATGTTTTTGACATTTTCTTAATTTTTTATAACAGGTAATTTGTTTTTATATATTTAATTTCTTTTGAAGCGCCATTGAACCATTGGGAAATGGCGCTCTGTACATTTTAATATTATTATCATTATTCTCGGCCATTATCATTACGCTATGCTTTCTGCTGTGCTATTTATAGCTCACCAGGAAGGCGACTTTAAAAGAGTATAAAACGAGAATGTCCCAAAATGTTAGACCCCACGTTCTTCAGGTGCACGTTATTGTAAAAATAGCATTTAGAAACTTGTAAAGCAGTATCTTGTTTCATGTGGTCAGGGGCACCCAACGACCGTTTTCTCTCGAATACTTTTAAAAGCTGTTTTAGGCTATGTGGAGTACTTTTAAAGCTC